TTGAAATATGACCAAAGTTTCTGGAGTTGAACATTTTCTGTTTCTCAACAGTGTTTATCCATGTGGGCCAGTAGCATAGTATTGTTCCTGAATTCTAATTCATTACCAGATTGACAGCTAGAACAGAATAGCCACCCAGGAAGGAACCTTCCCTCTCTCTCACCTCCCCCAATGAAGCTGGTATGTCTTTCTTCATGGGAAATGACAGGTTGTCAGAGATAATATTCATGCTCTTACTCACTAGCATACATAATGTGCTTTTAGACTTCCAAAAACCAGACTGAAAAGAGGCTTGGTCCTGTGGGGCAGTTCCGACAGAAACTGGCAGTGCATCCAGGAAAAAGGGGATGCTGAAATGATCATACTTAAGCTAGACCTGGGAATTCAAGGAAGCAGCACAAGCATAAAAAGAATGAAGAATGTCCAGAAATGGCAAATCCATAGTGACAAAGATTAGCGTTTCCCAAGGACTGAGGGGTGGCAGAATGAGGAGTAACAGGACTAAGAGGTACAAGGTATCTTTTGGGGATGATGAAAATATTCTAAAAGTAGATTATAATGATTGCACAACTCTGTAAATATACTAAAAACCATTGAATTGTATACTTTAAGCAGGTAAAAGAATGGAAAGTGGCAGAGTTGGGCTGGAGACCTGGGGTATAAATTATAGCCCTGGAGGCACAGAAAGATGGTAGCAGTGTGCATTGGGACAGTGTGATGGGAAAGAATACCATACTGGGCAGTGAGAGAACGGGGTTCTAAACTCAGCCCTGCTGTTATTTTGTCCCATTACTGACCCAACATGGGCCCTCAGCTTACCTAGGCCTCAGTTTTCTCACTTGTAAGGTGAGTAGAGTTACACTAGAGTCAATCTTTTGTTCCACTAACATACCAGAATGCATCCTTTTTTTTTCAGTCAACATCTGTGTACCAGGCATGATACTGAGGTTACAAGAGGCAATATGTACTTCTTTCAATTAACTTGTTCTAATGGTGAAACAGACATGTAAATAAATTGTAAATTATAAGTACATAAATATCATTTGGCTTTGTAACATGAACATTTTCCCATTTCATTAAATCCTCCTCAAACTTGTAACTTTTTTTTTTTTAGACAGAGTTTCACTCTTGTTGTCCAGGCTAGAGTGCAATGGCGCGATCTCAGCCCACTGCCTCAGGTGATCCACCCACCCTGGCCTCCCAAAGTGCTGGGATTATAGACGTGAGCCACTGCACCTGGCCACTTTTTTTTTTTTTTTTTTTTTTTTGAGACGGAGTCTTGCTCTGTCGCCCAGGCTGGAGTGCAGTGACGTGATCGCGGCTTACTGCAACCTCCACCTCCCAGGTTCACGCCATTCTCCTGCCTCAGCCTCCCAAGTAGCTGGGACTACAGGCGCCCGCCACCACGCCCGGCTAATTTTTTGTATTTTTAGTAGAGGTGGGGTTTCACCGAGTTTCACTGTGTTCGCCAGGATGGTCTCGATCTCCTGACCTCATGATCCACCAATCTTGGCCTCCCAAAGCGCTGGAATTACAGGCGTGAGCCACCGCGCCCAGCCTTTTTTTTTTTTTTTTTTTTTTTTTTTTTTTTTTTTTTTTTGAGACAGAGTCTCACTCTGTTGCCCAGGCTGGAGTGCAGTGGTACAATCTCGACTCACTGCAACCTCCGCCTCCTGGGTTCAAGCCATTCTCCTGCCTCGGCCTCCTGAGCAGCTGGGATTACAGGCGTGCGCCACCATGCCCAGCTATTTTTGTATTTTTAGTAGAGACAGGGTTTCTTTTTTTTTTTTGTATTTTTGGTAGAGATGGGGTTTCTCCATGTTGATCACGCTTGTCTTGAACTCCGACCTCAAGTGATCCGCCCACCTCGGCCTCCCAAAGTGCTGGGATTACAGGCATGAGCCACTGCACCCGGCCATTGTAACTTTTAATGCCTATTTTAATAGTCTCATTGATACACTATATCAAACCATTCCAATCATGGGCATTTGGTTTTGTTGCTTTTTCACCATCTTAAATAATAGTGATGCACATTCTTATTTGTAAAATCTTTATCCAAAGGGGGAAGTGATAACCAAAGACCAAGTACACGAATAACTTACAAATTAGAACTTCAGAGGCTGGCACGGGGCCTCATGCCTGTAATCCTAGGACTTTAAGAGGCCAAGGCAGGAGGATTGCTTGAGTTCAGGAGTTTGAGATCAGCCTGGGCAACAAAGTGAGACCCCCATCTCTACCAAAAAAAAAAAAAAAAAGAAAACAATTAGTCGGGCACAGTGGCATCCACCTACTGAGTAGTAATTCTAGCTACTCGGGAGGCTGAGGTGGAAGGATCACTTGAACCTAGGAGTTGAGGGGCGCAGTAAGCTATGATTGTGCCACTGAACTCTAGCCTGGGTGACAGAGCAAGACCATGTCTCTTTAAAAAAAAAAAAAAAAGATATTCATCCGTAAATGTTTAGGTAAATACAGAAGAGAATTATGATATCCATCTGGCAAGACCTCTCAGAGATAGAATTTGAACTTAGCCTTGGGGGAGATAGGCAGGCAAGATGAGTAAGATTTGGATATAATAAGATGAAAGTTGAGGCAAGATTAGGGTGTAGGAAGATTTGTCAAAATGGATGCTGAAGCGCTTTTGCAAAACAGCCAGGGAATAGATGAAAAGGCAGCTTGTTAGCTAAGTGTTAAATCATTGCGTGGGAGAGTCTCAGCGAATGTTTCAAACTTAAAAACTGTAGGTTATTGAGAGATGACTGAACAACAATGTTGGAGGAGAGAGTAGAAGATAATGACCATGCTAAGATACCTTTTCTCTCATATATTGAAAATAGTTGGAAAAAGAATAGTTCCTGTTACAGAAGTTTGCAGAGAAAAAGATGTTTTAAATTAAATCTGGTTTCATTTTGAATGAGATGGTAAAAGAAGACTGGAAAAGCTAGAGGAAGAAAAAGAATTTTGGCTGTTTTCACAGATGGAATGTGGGCTTTATAGGGTATTTGATGTTCTCCAAGTTTTCTCTAGTTCTGAAAGGCCTTTTGCCTCTAGGAGGAACAGTAGTGACATGGCTTTAATGAGCTCAGAACTCTCACACCTTCCCTTTCCATAATTTCTGCTGCTTTCTTGGCCTCTACTTTTTTTTTTGTTTGTTTTGAGATGGAGTCTCACTCTGTCACCCAGGCTGCAGTGCAGTGGCACGATCCTGGCTCACTGCAACCTCCGCCTCCCAGGTTCAAGTGATTCTCCTGCCTCAGCCTCCCAACTAGCTGGGACTAGAGGCACTTGCCACCACGCCCAGCTAAGTTTGTGCTTTTAGTAGAGATGGGGTTTCACCATGTTAGCCAGGCTGGTCTTAAACTCCTGACCTCAGCTGATCTGCCCAGCTTGGCTTCCCTAAAGTGCTGGAATTACAGGCATGAGCCACTGCACCTGGCCTCATTTCTTTCCTATTGAGATTATTTTCTTATTCTTGCCATGTCCCCTCTTTTGAAGGTCTTACTTAGGCCATTAGTAAATGGCTGTACAGCCTTGGTGTATTCATTTGCTATTCCTGGCATAACAAATTACCACACAGGCTGGACACAGTGGCTCACACTTGTAATCTCAGCACTTTGGGAGGCTAAGGTGGGCGGATCACGAGGTCAAGAGATTGAGACCATCCTGGCCAACGTGGTGAAACCCTGTCTCTACTAAAAATACAAAAAAAAATTAGCTGGGCATGGTGGCGCACACCTGTAGTCCCAGCTACTTGGGAGACTGAGGCAGGAGAATCACTTGAACCTGGGAGGCAGAGGTTGCAGTGAGCTGAGATCACGCCACTGTGATCCAGCCTGGCAACAGAGTGAGACTCCGTCTCAAAAACAAACAAAAAAACAAATTACCACACATTTTATGGCTTAAACCACATAAATTTATTATTTACCATGTGTAGGTCATAAATTGAACACGGATAACTGGGCTAGCAATCTTCACACCTTGGCCTTCTGAAGTATTAGGATTACAGGCATGAGTCACTGCTCCTGGCCTGAGCTCCAATCAGGGTTTCAGCAGGACTGCCTTCCTTTCTGGAGGCTCAAGGAGCGGGTCTAGTTCCTCGAATATTGGGTTGTTGGCAGAACTCAGTTTCTCGTGGTTGTAGAACTGAGATCTCTGTTTTGTTACTGGCTGTCAGCTGAAAGTTGTTCCCAGCTTCTAAAGGTCACTTACATCCCTTGGCTCATGACTCCCTTCTTCCACTTTCAAAGCCAACAATGGCAGATTGCATCCCCTTCACACATCGAATCTCTTTTTCTTCTTCCATTTCATCTCTGACCCCCTTCCTCTGCCTTTCTCACCTACATTTGTGGACTTATGATTAGATTGGGGCCAAATGGACAATCCAAGACAAACTCTAGGATCTCAAGGTTCTTAACCTTAATCATACCTGCAAAGCCCTGTTTCCTCATGTATAATCCATATTCACAGGATCCAGGGATTAGAGAAAGGACTTTTTTTTTTTTTTTTTTTTTAGTTTTGCTCTTTCACCCAGGCTGAAATGAAGTGGCGAGATCTTGGCTCACCGCAACATTTGACCCCCGGTTCAAGCGATTCTCCTGCCTCAGCCTCTCGAGTAGCTGGGATTACAGGCATGTGCCATCATGCCCGGCTAATTTTTGTATTTTTAATAAGAGATAGAGTTTCACGATGTTGGCCAGGCTGGTCCTGAATTCTTGACCTCAGGTGATCCACCTGTCTAGTCCTCCCAAAGTACTAGGATTACAGGCATGCGCCACCACGCCCTGCGGGAAAGGACATGTTTGTGGGGCCGTTATTCTCTACTTGCAATACTTGATAGGAAATTCAGCAGATCCACTCTAAGGAACTGTGCTAAGATACTTCTCACTGTATCCATTTCCATTTGTATTCTGTGTATTATTCCTCTTTTTCAGTGTAGGAGTTGTGTGTGTCTGTGTCTGTGTTTGAAGTGACCTTAATTCTGAACACCAGTCTCTTTTTCTTAGATATGTCTTGTCGTTCAAGACTTGCAACACTAAACGAGAAATTGACAGCCCTTGAACGGAGAATAGAGTACATTGAAGCACGGGTGAGTTTGATGGGCCAGGGCATTCCAAGAGAGAATGCGCATTTCCACTTATTACTGAAAAAAACCTGAAAGCAGAAACAGTCTTAGGAAGCTTAAGCACTGGCCAGACATGGTGGCTCACGCCTGTAATCCCAGCATTTTGGGAGGCTGAGGTGATGGATCACCTGAGGTCAGGAGTTCAAGACCAGCCTGGCCAACATGGTGAAACCCCATCTCTACTAAAAATACAAAAATTAGCCAGGCATGGTGGTTCACACCTGTAGTCCCAGCTACTCAGGAGGCTGAGGCAGGAGAATCACTTGAAACTGGGAGGCTGCCGGGCGCGGTGGCTCAAGCCTGTAATCCCAGCACTTTGGGAGGCCGAGACGGGCGGATCACGAGGTCGGGAGATCGAGACCATCCTGGCTAACACGGTGAAACCCCGTCTCTACTAAAAAGTACAAAAAACTAGCCGGGCGAGGTGGCGGGCGCCTGTAGTCCCAGCTACTCGGGAGGCTGAGGCAGGAGAATGGCGTGAACCCGGGAGGCGGAGCTTGCAGTGAGCTGAGATCCGGCCACTGCACTCCAGCCTGGGCGACAGAGTGAGACTCCGTCTCAAAAAAAAAAAAAAAGAAAAAAAGAAACTGGGAGGCAGAGGTTGCAGTGAGCCGAGATCGCACCACTGCATTCCAGCCTGGGTGGCATCTCAAAAAAAGAAAAGAAAAGTTCAGCAGATTGCCTGGATTTGAACCAGGTTTCTGTGACTTCACAGCTATCTTCTTTTCTACTATTTCTCACTGCCTAGGATCTAAAGTAAGAATTTTTTTTTAGACCCCTCTAATCTTTTTGAATTTATCTAAATGTCAATTTTCCTTTCCTTTCACAGGTGACAAAAGGTGAGACACTCACCTAGAACAGTGACGTGCTGCTGCTGGGAAGTTGCTTTACACAACACAGGCCACATGGGAAAGGCCCCAGCAGCCTTCAGCTCCTTCCTTTCTCCTTAAAGAGCAACAGGGCTTATTCTTGTTTTTCTTTTTTCAAAAGTGTGGCCTTTGGGCTCTGCCATCTGGGGTGTGGTGTGTTATGTGGGGAGAAGTCCAGAGGAACTGCTGGAAACGACATGAGGCATTTTACCTTTTCAGTAACATTTTATAGATCTACTTGTCAATGTATTTGAGACATTCACAGCCAAAACCCTGGGACTCTTTGTGAAGGTCCTCCCCGCCTCTATCTTTCTTTCTCTCTCTCTCAAACTTTCCTTAAAGTTCTCATTGCCTTTGCACTGCTTCTGTGAACAGTCTTTATCTCCTCCCCACCTTTGGTGGGAAGTGGGGGGCAATCCTGGCCAAGACACTCATGCCCTGGCAATGTGGCTGCCAGAGAATGTTGTTGCAGACCCACCAGTTTCTTGTTGATTTGGGGAGGTCAAGGCCAGGCCCCCACTTGGCTTGAAGGGACATTTTTAGACTTTTCTTTCTGTCACTTGGGAGTGTCTATGCCTCCCATATTTCCCTAATAAACTCAACTTTTTATCTGACTGCTGTGATTATGGTGGGGAGAGGAGCTAGAGGTGGACTTACTTATTGCACAGAAATGTAATATATGGCATTATTATTCTAACATAAAACTTTCAGATGCAGCTGTTTGATTCAAAGCCTAGGTGGCTTACCAGCCCAAGTCCCCATGTTTGGACTCTGAGCTGACTAGCTCATCCTGGGAATCATTTGGTCATTCAGCACATTTACCAAGTATTTACTATGTAGGCATGTTAAACTCCAATAAAAGATACAGCATTGAATCAGACATGATGCTTACAGTCTGTTGAAATACCAGCATTCACACAATTTAGCCACAATCCAAGGCAGATTATTAGTTTTATAAAGGCAGAAGCTAAATGTCTACTTCTTTGAAAAACAGATAGCCGGGTGCGGTGGCTCATGCCTGTAATACCAGCACTTTGGGAGGCCGAGGTGGGTAGATCATGAGGTCGGGAGATCGGGACCATCCTGGCTAACACAGTGAAACCCTGTCTCTACTAAAAATACAAAAAATTAGCTGGGCGTGGTGGCGGGCGCCTATACTCCCAGCTACTCGGGAGACTGAGGCAGGAGAATCGCTTGAAACCGGGAGGTGCAGGTTGCAATAAGCCGAGATCGCACCACTGCACTCCAGCCTGGTGACAGAGCAAGACTACGTCTCAAAAAAAAAAAAAGAAAAAAAGAAAAACAGATGGTTTAAACTTTTCATTTTGGTATCCAAAGCTTACTATAAACTTGTACCAACCAACTTCTAAAGGCTTATCCACTATATAGAATCTATTTTAGTCACACAGAAGTCATTATGCTCTGTATACACTGATTTCCCTCAATTCAAATCATATTTGCCATTCAAAGTCTAGCGCAAGGCCCAGCACGGTGGCTCATGCGTGTTATCCCAGCACTTTGGGAGGCCGAGGCGGGTGGATCACAAGGTCAGGAGGTCGAGACTGTCCTGGCTAACAGGGTAAAACGCCGTCTCTACTAAAAAAAAAAATACAAAAAAAATTAGCCGGGCATGGTGGCGGGCGCTGTAGTCCCAGCTACTCAGGAGGCTGAGGCAGGAGAATGGCGTGAACCTGGGAGGCGGAGCTTGCAGTGAGCCAAGATAGCGCCACTGCACTCCAGCCTGGGCGACAGAGGGAGACTCCATCTCAAAAAACAAAGTGTAGCTTAAGCCAAATTTCCCCCTGAAAGTTCTCTTAGACTTGACTTTTTCATTTAGCATTGCCCTTTTCCTCTTCTCAGTTCCTCCCAATCCTACCATGCTGACACTGTGCTTCAGCTCTGGATTTGATCTTGATATGGATTTGTCTCTGATTTAGGATGTGCATCCTAGAATAGAAATGGACATCTTTGGCCAGGTGCAGTGGCTCACACCTGTAATCCCATCACTTTGGCTGGGTGGATCACTTGAAGTTAGGAGTTTGAGACCAGCCTGGCCAACATGGTGAAACCCAATCTCTACTAAAAATACAAAAATTAGCTGGGCATGGTGGCAGGCACCTGTAATCCCAGCTACTCAGGAGGCTGAGGCAAGAGAATCACTTGAACCTGCAGAGGTTGCAGTGAACTGAGATTGCGCCACTGGACTCCAGCCTGGGTGACAGAGGAAGACTCCGTCTCAAAAAAATAATAATAATATGTTCTAAACGAGTTAGTGCCCTTAATAGTACCATATTGCTAGGTGTGGTGGTGTGCACCTGTAATCCCAGTTACTCAGGAGGCTGAGGTGGGAGGATAGCTTGAGCCTAGCAGGTCAACACAAGCCTGAGCAACATAATGAGACCCGTCTTTATTTTTTTTAATTTTTCTATTTTTTAGTTAGCTCTTTTTTCTTTCTTTTTTTTGAGACAGAGCCTTGCTCTGTTGCCAGGCTGGAGTGCTGTGGCACAATCTTGGCTCACTGCAACCTCCACCTCCCAGGTTCAAGGGATTCTCCTGCCTCAGCCTCCTGAGTAGCTGGGACTACAGGTGCCTGCCACCACACCTGGCTAATTTTTTATATTTTTAGTAGAGACGGGGTTTCACCATGTTAGCCAGGATAGTCTTGATCTCTTGACCTTGTGATCCGCCCACCTCGGCCTCCCAAAGTGCTGGGATTACAGGTGTGAGCCACCGCGCCCGGCAACTCTTTTCTTCTTTTTACGCCCAGCCAACTCATCATAAGTTTTTTAATTATAATTTTTTAATCTACCTTTTTTTCCAAGATGGAGTTCGAGACCCACCTGGGCAATGTGGCAAGACCCCATCTCCACTAAAGATACAAAAATTAACTGAGCATGGTGGCATGCACTTGTAGTCCCAGCTACTCAGGAGGCTGAAGTGGGAAGACTGCTTGAGCCCAGGAGGTGGAAGCTGCAGTGCTGAGATTGCACCACTCCACTCCATCCCAGGCAACAGAGTGTGGCCCTGTCTTAAAAAACAAACAAACAAAAAAAATCTGTGAGTGGAAAATGAGCTAAATTTAAAATTTTCCTCTAAGCCATTCATAGGCACCTTCAAGGGAACCTCTTCACGCCTGTATACTTTGAAATGTTTTTTACTCTGTAATTTGGTTTAATTCACTTATTTACTGAAAAGTAAGAGGTTTGAGCCCATGAGCAATTAGGCATAGATTGCAAGTCCCTTGATAATAAAGCAGTTTTCAGTCTGTCTTTAAAAATTAAGCTTGGGCCGGGTGCCGTGGCTCACGCCTGTAATCCCAGCACTTTGGGAGGCCAAGGTGGGCAGATCACGAGGTCAAGAGATCGCGACCATCCTTGCCAACATGGTTGAAGTGGATTTCAGAAGCAGAAAAAATAGGGAGCTTATTGTCTGGCTGATAGTTACAGAAGTACCCAGTTCTGTTATTCCACTCTTGTTACTCAGACATTTAACTACGTTTATTTCACCAAGCTAAAGAAGTATAGTACAGGTTGATGATCCGCATTCTGAAAATTGGAAATGCTTCAAAATCTAAAACTTTTTGAGCATTGACATGGCACTCAAAGGAAATGCTCATTGGAGCATTTTGGATTTTGGATTAGGGATACTCAACGAGTAAGTATATAAAGACGTTCCAAAAGATTTCAGATTTCCAAAAGCTGAAAAAATCCCAAATCCAAAACACCTCTGGTCCCAAGCATTTCAGATAACACTCAACCTGTACTATAAGCCACACTAAGTGGGGTAGAGGCCAGCCGTGGTGTCTTATACCTATAGTCCTAGCACTTTGGGAGGCTGAGGCAGGAGGATTGCTTGAGCCCAGAAATTTGAGACCAGCCTGGGCAACATAGTGAGACCCCTCTCTATAAAAGTAGTTTTTAGGCCGGGCGCGGTGGCTCAAGCCTGTAATCCCAGCACTTTGGGAGGCTGAGACGGGCGAATCACGAGTTCAGGAGATCGAGACCATCCTGGCTAACACGGTGAAACCCCGTCTCTACTAAAAATACAAAAAAAAAATTAGCCAGGCGAGGTGGCGGGCGCCTGTGGTCCCAGCTACTCGGGAGGCTGAGGCAGGAGAATGGCATGAACCCGGGAGGCGGGGCTTGCAGTGAGCTGAGATCCGGCCACTGCACTCCAGCCTGGGCAACAGAGCCAGACTCCGTCTCAAAAAAAAATAAAATAAAAAAATAAAAGCAGTTTTTAAATTAGGAGGGTGTGGTGGCACAAGCCTATAGTCCCAGCTACTGGGGAGGCTGAGGTAGGAGGATCACTGGAGCCCAGAAGTTCGAGGCTGCAGTGAGCTATGATCATGCCACTGCATTCCAGCCTTGGTGACAGAGTGATACACCATCTCAAAAACATGGTATGGGGGCTGGGTGCTGAGGTTTATGCCTCCCAGCACTTTGGGAGGCTGAGGCAGAGGGATCACTTGAGGCCAGAAGTTCAACACCAGCCTGGCCAACAGCAAAACCCTGTCTCTACAATAAAAAAAAAAAAAAACAGAAAAAATAAACGTGGTGGGGACAGGAAGCCTGTTGTTCATTTCTAGGCTCCTTCCCAGTATTTATACTCAGATTCATGCTGTTGCCTGCAAAAAAGGTTGGCCCCCAGTTGCCTCTGGATAATATGATTTAGAAAATTTGCTCTGGCAGCTTGCAGACAATTGCTGCCGTTAGTAATTGTACAAAAATACATGGCTGGGCACAGTGGCTCACACCTGTAAACCCAGCATTTTGGGAGGCCAAGGTGGGCAGATCACTTGAGGTCAGGAGGTTGAGACCAGGCTTGTCAATATGGTGAAACCCCATCTCCACTAAAAATTAAAAACAAAAAATTAGGCTTGATGATGTGCGCATGTAATCCCAGCTACTTGGGACGCTGAGGCACAAGAATCGCTTGAACCTTGGAGGTGGAGTTTGCAGTGAGTTGAGGTCACACCACTGCACTCTAGCCGGGGCAGCAGAGCTGGATTCTGTCTCAAAACAACAACAGGCTGGGCACGGTGGCTCAAGCCTGTAATCCCAGCACTTTGGGAGGCTGAGATGGGTGGATCACGAGGTCAGGAGATCGAGACCATCCTGGCTACCACAGTGAAACCCCGTCTCTACTAAACAATACAAAAAACTAGCCGGGCGAGGTGGCGGGCGCCTGTAGTCCCAGCTACTTGGGAGGCTGAGGCAGGAGAATGGCGTAAACCCGGGAGGCGGAGCTTGCAGCGAGCTGAGATTCGGCCACTGCACTCCAGCCTGGGCGACAGAGCGAGACTCCGTCTCAAAAACAACAACAACAACAACAACAATAATAGCAACAACAACTAACTTCTAAAGGCCATGTGACTGTCAAGTAGATTATACATAAGAAAGGCTGATTTAGAGTTCTTAGAGGTTTTTTTTTTGTTCTTTTTTTTTTTTTTTTTTTTTTTTTTCTGAGACAGGGTCTCGCTCTGTCACCCAGGCTGGAGTGCAGTGGCGTGATCTTGGCTCACTGCAACCTCCACCTCCCATGTTCAAGCGATTCTCATGCCTCAGCCTCCTGAGTAGCTGGGATTACAGGAATGCGCCACCAGGCCCAGCTAATTTTTGTATTTTTAGTAGAGACAGGGTTTCACCAGGTTGGCCAGGCTGGGGTTTCTTCATTTAATTTTTCTTTATTTATTTGTTTTCTTTGTTTTTAGAGACAGAGTCTCACTATGCTGCTTAGGCTAGTCTCAAACTCCTGGGCTCAAGCAATCTTCCCGCTTTGGCCTCCCAAAGTGTTGGGATTACAGGCATGAGCCACTGTGCCCGACTAGTTTATTTTCTAAAGAAAAGTTACCCTGGAGGATCACTTGAGGCCAGGAGT